AGGATTTCCAATGACTCTTTCCTGTGTCGTTGCTTAAAGGAGTATTGTATAACCTAAATTATTCTGAGAGAAATAATTACAGAATTGTTTCTTATGCTGCCTCCTTCAGAGAAGTTTGGAAAGGGTTCCTGGAAGACATTTTTCAGGTCCTCATTTTCTGAAAGCCAATGCTGATCTACATCAAACATAATAGTGGAGGTATATAGCTATATACCAGCTGACACACAATGTTACAACATCATGATATCATTACTAATTCCTGCTCTGCTAGATTGACCACTATTTGTTGTGAAATAAAGTAGATCTATATAACATACTTTGCATTTGCACAGACCAAGATGTATATCAGTTGTATTAATACAACACAGTGAGGCTCACTATTTTTCTGTGGTTGAGTTGTAAGAGTCAGTCAACCACTACAATCTGAGGAGTTCCATGAGTTTCATCAGAATGAAAAATGGAGGACAGTGGAGATTTGGTCTGTGGCTGAGTGTACATCTAGGGACTTTGGCCCCACCTGGCTGTAAACCTTCTGGGAAGACAGAGAAGATGATGCGTAAGGAAGAGCCTCAGTCTAGAAATGTTTTATGTGGTTGATATTGAAACATTTAATTCAACACTATATCTGACTGTGCTTCTGTTCTTTCTCTCTACGTGATAATCCCGTGTATTTTGTACTCTGCTCTTCTATAGACAGAACCTTCTCCATGCAACTTACTCACCGTAAAAATCATACGGATGAAAAATGCCAGGAAAGCAGACTTGTGTGAGTATCTTTATATACCTATAGAGTATACATGTGCTTGCAAACCTACTTGAAATATAACCAAGTGTGGAAAACATCACAGAGCATTTCTAAAAGGAGAGAAGCAGAGATGTTTGACTGTGGTTGGTGAAGATGAAGTAGCATAGTTCATATTAATTATTCTTAGATTTTTGTCAGCATAGTACTGAGGTCCATCCATCAGCTCTATGTAGTTCAGATCTGTTTGCACAGAATGCATAAAATGTAGATTCAATTGTGAAAAAAAGTGTAGATATTTATTTGAAGGAAATAGTGTATGAATAAATTTAGATGAGGGCATTTCTTTCTATGGTTGCTTCTTACACTGATGTCCAACCTGTGCATAGCACAGAATATTTTATGTGTGCTTAAGACTGGATATTTGACATCTCTCATTGGACTCATCTTTTATGGAATAGTGTGCAACACTTGTTGCACAATTGCGACAGATTGCCCAGGGAAGTGGTAGAGTCACCATCCCTGGATGTATTTAGGAGTTGTGTACATGCAGTGCTTAGGGACATGGTTTAGGGGTGGACCTTGTTGTGTTATGTACTGGTTAATCTTTATTTAATGGATCTTGTCCAGTCTGTATGATTCTATCATTCTGTGTCTGTTGCATTTGATTCAATCATAGGAGATGTTTCATAGCATAGTAGAGGGCTTGCACTGTTACTGTTTCTGTTATTAGTAATTTTTCCAAACTATTCAGAAGTTGATAAGTATATAAACATTTATTAATACTCCATAAAAATCTGACCAGCAAAGCTGGTAGAAGCTAGAGAAGAAGGTGAAACAACAACTTCCAGTCTGAGTACCTGGCTGATTATCTTGCATTTATTCACTTACATGGATAGGAGGGTCTCAGTCTGGAACGTTTCTGTAGGAACCAAACCAAGTTAAATTTGCTGAGTTAAAATGATGCAGGTCTGTAGCTCCACAAGGCATTAGTTTGGGCCTTTCTGTAATACTGCTGTTGTTCTTTAGATCTCAAATATGTATAAAGAGTAGTTTATCATTCTATTTTTTTTTCTGAAGAGAATCAAGATAAATTCTTGTTGTTGAATGCATGGAGAAGAAGAGTCTGTATGAACTTATTCCTAATGCGTGGAAAGGTGATCTGAATTTAAGGTGATAATTTAAAGGCTGGAGGAAAATCTCCTGCTACAGCCAAAACCAAACTGAAGGTACAAACTCTAAGGCTCTGAATGGAAAGAAAGAGGTGTGGACAAACAGGGCCCTTAGATATATTCCCTGATAATCATGTCCTGTCATCTGCATGATAGTGAGCTTACTGAATTTACTCTCTGCCTTTTCCTCCTCTCCACAAATTTTGCTTCTGGTTTCAAACTATTTTGACTCTGAAGGGAGTTGCCTGTTTTGCTGCTCTCCTTGCAAACAGCAGAAATTTTTAGTGCCCAGGCCAAGTACTGAGTTGGTTGAACATTTCATTTTGCTGGCATGAGGCAGTTCATCCGGCCCCTACCTCTCCTCAAAGGAGAGGTTTGGATGGCTGCAGTGTTTACAGGGCATGCCCTGGGGTCTTGAGCAGCACAGGCTCTCCAGGCTGAGGTTATTTTGTATTACACTGCAAATCTTGTACTGGATGTTATTTGCAAAACAGGGCAACAAGCATTTCACCACCAATGTTGCCAAGCTGTTATCTGCTTGAAATGGTCATGTCAGTCAAACCCTGGAGAGAGAAAATGGCACAAACAGAATAAATACCATGCTTGTAAAGGTGAATGCTTTGTTTATTGGGTACTTCCACCATTTGCAAAGAGAATCTCTGAAAGAACTGTCCAAGATACCGAAGAGAAGTTGGGAATAATGTTTGGATGTAAAATAAACACCTTTCCTATCAGGTAGGGCAGTTAGTTTTTTGGTATCCATACTAGCATGCTAGGAGATGCGCAGGTAAGAATCTCAGCCACTCTGTGAGCAAGACATTTTGTGAGTCTAAGTGAACTGCAGCCTCCACTTAGTGGATGGCAAAGAAAAGAGAATTATATGTCTGCTTGTTAGCTCTGTTGACTAGGATTTCTCGTTATCCCTCCTGGAGTCCAGGACTCAATGCCAAAAATCACATCCTCTCCTCTATACTCAGCTTTGTACCCAGGAACTTGTATTTTGAGGATTACAGAATTGTACCAGTCCTAACACTGCCTTGCATATACTTGATTTCTGAGTCCGGTTTTGTTGATACCTGCTTACTTCCATTTATCTGAAAATTTTGCTTTCAAGCCTCTTCAGCCTGTAGTTTGCTATACAGTGAGACTTGTACAAGTCATATGTTTCAATTATACACTCTTCATCATAACAAATAAAACTGTGATTCAATTTTTTTTTAAATAATGACTTTCACATCTGGATAGTCACTGGCAATGGAAAAGCTAGCGCAAGTTTCCTGTTTGTAACTATGTGGCTTTCTCTGAGAAGAAATAAATGGGAGTCTTAAGATGGAAAATGCACCACTTTTGTAATGTTTAGCTACTTTTTTGTGTACCTCTGGGGAACATATTTTTCTGTCACATTTATAATCACCTGGAGATTAGTTTGGCACACTTAGGAAACCCCAAAGTATGTGAGCTTCCATCCCCAGCTATGCTGACTTATTTACAGTACCATTTTCTTAACGATTTTTTTTTCTTATTAGTCCTTTTCAAGCTTTTTTTTTTTTTTTTTTTTTTTTTTTTTTTAAATAGCTGTCCTTTCCCTGAAAACCTTCCTGAATAGAACAGGATGGCAAGTGTCACCTATTTCCCGGCCTTCTTAAACAATTTCAATACCTAAAATCAGTTCTTCCTGTTTCTCTCCAGTCATGCTTATCCTTTTTTTAAGAAGTTAATTCCATTTTGTTATATTCTCCTCTGAAGATCCTTCCCTGCACTATTTCTGAGCAGTCTTAGCATCGCTTTGCTTAATACTCATCTAGTGCTTAGACATTCTTTCATTGGGGTACTATGAGTTAATTTCGTTACTGCTCTATCTGCTTCATCTTCTAGACAGTAAATGGTAATGGGAAAACCAATCCATCACAATAGTCTCAAAACTTCAATAGCATCAACTACAGAACAGGTATTACAAGACTTTTACTGGAAGTTCAAAGACAAATTACTTTCAATTTTTTCAACTCTTCATCCTTTTAATACATCCTTATACTATTTCATCTCTTTTTACCACTAATTTATCAATGTGTAAATAACACATCAACATTGATTTCCGTTTGTGTATTCATGCATCACTGATGTCCTCTGTGACTTTGGTGCCATGTTTGTGATCTGCATGTTCCCTCTTCTCACTGAGAACACCCATCAGACTCACTGGAGTTATTAATATTCCTGGACCAGCAAACACTTGCCAGTTCCCAGATTTGGGTGTGTACCTTGTCTGCATCCTGACTCCTCAATAGGGTGAGACTTGGATGTGCACCAATCCAACCCAATCTTAAAAACAATTTCAAATTTCATTTGAAATTTGGACGATTTCAAATTTCATGCTCAGCCTGTTAAAGTATATGGATGTCAAAAGTTTGTGTAGACTCAAGACAGAGATTAACCATGTTCACAAAGAAAAAAAAAAGCAGTAAAGGTTGGCTTAGAAAGTCTCTGAAAATAAAACTGAGGACTGAGAACGCTGTGTGATGTTTACCCTCTTCTTATGCACTTAAATCCGATCAAATGTGGGCCATGGTCTTCTTTGGCACTTATTTCCATTCCTAACAGGATGAAAAATCCTTCCCCAATAAAGGGACAAAAGAACTAAAGAAAAAGATCTTGTAGAGGAAGAAATTCATTAAGTGGAATTGAATGAAAACAAACAAAACGTAAGTTTTGAGAATTAAACAAAAAGCTAAAAGTAGGGAGGTGGGGAGAAATCTGTGATGAATATTTTCAAGCCATCATAATTTGCTTTCTGAAAGCATTCTAGAGATTCAGTAGATACAAAAAGACACTGGGCTAAATGGACCATGGCTGAACTAAGCATTTTCTTGGTGAAATAATGATCTTTTGTGAATGTCTTGGTGGAAAAAGTGGGGAGGGAAAAAGCAGACTTTTATTTTTTTAATATATTTATTACTAGACTGGTCAGTTTTGAAAAATTTCAGGTTTGATTTTTTTAATTTTTTTTTAATTTAAGGCCTATGTTATTTTGGATGCAATGTTTTATAAGATCATGAAGTATAGTTTATATTTTTCATTTTAAAACATATTTTATGGCATTGCAGTAGCAGTTCTGCTGTATGTGAAATCAAGTTGTGGAAAGGTCATTGAGACCCTGAAATGAAATACAGTTGGTGAAATATAGTATTGTTTGAGGATCTGTGGTCCAATCTGATGCTTATTACAGGAACTCACAGACTTCCTCTGGTGTTTGGTTTTTGCACTAAATTATTATTTCATTGTCATTTATTACTTACTTCACCATGATATTTAAGCAGCTGCCATTATGTACCATTGTTCTAGAGGCTGCTTGAAATCCTGTTTAATAATAAGAGGGTGTGAATAAGGAAAAAAAAATAAAGAAAAACAGTGAGGTTGTTATTTGGTAGAATCTCGGCAAAGATTCTGTAAATACCAATGGTGTAAATAACAATAGTGATACAGCTTTCTTTACAGTGTGCCACCCTAGGTGAAGGCTAAGGTGTGAATGTGTGAGAAAGCTTTTTATTGAAGTTTAGTTATAGGCAATGGGGATTAACATTAAAAGTTGCCTGGAGGAAGAAAATGCTCTCCCAGTCCTGTCTGAATTGTTATAGTTATATTGTGAAGGGCCTTGGAAACAAAGACATTTATTTCCACAGAAGCAGCCCATGTTCTCTTTATTAAAAACAAGCGACAACACAGAACCAAACAAAGCAAAAAACCCTCAGTGATCTAAATTATCTAATGATTTGCATTTTAGAAAACAGCACTGTTAATCTACCCATCCACAGCCATATCTCTACTCAGATCCCCAGAGTTGGATGAAGAGCAAAAATGCATTTCTTTGGTGATGGTCTATATTTCATGAGATGGTCCAAGTGAAGGACATCCATGACCACGGTAATGATTTGGGCAAACAGATCAATATTTGAGACCACATTCTTGTTTTCAGTACAATAAGAAAAACTACACTTTGAGAGCCATAAGAAAGCCTTTCCCCTAGAATTGGCCTCCATTTGAGTGCTTACAGGCAGTCCAAGAGGAGGAGGATGCCCAGACTGAAATCCATGAAGGCTGGAAGTTGTATCTCTTAATATAAAAAATAGGAGAAACTTCATGTTTTAGCCAGAACAGCTGGTGCCCTGCTGTTGTCTGAGGTGCAGCATGGTACTGGGACCATGGTGTTTTTTAGCATGGGTCATGCAGCTGTAATGCTTTCTAATGGCAAAGTGCAATTAGGATCCAGTCCTGCAGCTATCCTGTAAGATAATTAGAAACGTAACGTAATAATTGCATGAAGCCTGTACTTTCATAAGCACCTGCTGCCACACCTGCTTCTGGCAGGATATTGCCCCACGGTGATACTATGGCTGCCACCCCAAGTACATTTCAACAAATGTGTCATGGTCAAGGTGAGGTACACCAGTTGCTGCTGGGAAGTTCTGCTGTGTACGTCATATGAGCATCATCACTGCTGTTCCCCTTCTATAGTCAGGTGGTGTTAGGGTTACGTACTACAATAATGAGGATTTGCACGCATGTGCCTGCTAAAGAGAGCCTTGTATGTATAAATGAAAAGTTTCTCAACATAAGGCAGTGTAGTTTTCTGCTGCACCAATGATGGACAGAGTGGACTGCCAGTCCTCACATCTATTTGTACATAGAGTGGATCAAGCACAGTATCAAGGTCGCTCACAAACTTAAGTGGATCCTTCTGATCCTCTGAGATCTGATGGGAGTGAGTTAATCTCAATGTGGAGAAAAAAAAAAGAAGAATCAAAGTCAATCAAAAAAAGATTTTCATATGAAGATTTCCTCTATATACATGGAAGTTTGGGAGCTATTAGGACTCTGTGAATTTGTGTGATCTCTCTGTGTTTTGGTATGTTTATAATTTAAATATATATATATTATATATCACAACTACTTTAATCAAAGTTACTCTTTTTTTTTTCAAAGTTACTTACACAAAATGACTAGAATCTCAGGGCAGTTATTTTTATTTAAAAAAAAAAAAAAAAAAAAAAAAAAAGTTCACTAATTCAAAAGAAGTTCACTAATTCTTCAGTAGCACGTGGCTAAGGGCCAAGTCAGTGACTCTGCATTTCCCAAAAGTCAAGTCTACTGCTAAAACTAAATGGAACAAAACTAAGTGTAGTCAGATGAGGGTGTGTCTGCTGCGGTTAAAGGAATGCTTGAGTAGGTGGCATTAAAAATAGAGAAAATATAATGCTGGTGATGAGATTGACATCTGTAGGCAATACTGTGTCCATGCTATCTTTGGCATTTATGTGGTTTGTTGCTCCTAACCAATAAACTGTGTTCTGTAGAGTGGTCAACCTTGACTTCGAATCATGGATCCAAAGGATTGTAAATCTCACGATTCACATTTATTTTTACTACTTAATGATTATGACAAAAAGCATTCCAGGCAGAAATGATGAGCAAAGCACTGTAGACAGCTGCTAACCACCGTTTCATACCAAAACTTAGGTCCCAAACATCCCTCACTTACAAAGTAGCTCATGTGGGAAGCCAAACTCTACAGCTGAGCTTTTCAACTGGGAAAGGGAATTTAAAACCCTAAAGCTCCCCTCCTTAGTATCTGGCCACATAAAAATTCATAGCCAAACTCTATGACCCTGATTGAAAAAAACAAGGCAAGAGCAACGCAATCTTGTGTAAAGTATCAACATCACCTCACTTTGTGCTGGAAAGCACAGACAAGATTTCACCTGCCTGTTGTGTTGCAAATGCCATTACTACTCTCTCTACTACTACCTTTGGTCATATAGTACTGACTTTATGACGTCTTATCTGGCCTCCCAGCTTGCATTCTGCCTTGTGAACTCAAAAATTCAATCAGTGCAACACTTTATGGGGTGCTAAATGTGGCTTACTGATCTGTTACTTTCATACTTTCTTCCACAGTAACCCAGTCAGATTGCTATGTGAGCCTGAGACTGCCAACAGCTTCAGTGCAGAATTTCCGAACGAAAACAATTCCTAACACCAAGAACCCAACATGGAATGAGACCTTCCACTTTATGATTCAGAGCCAGGTTAAGGTACGAAATGTAGCTATGTTAGCACTTACTCTCTAGGCGTCTCCTGATTACTAGGCTGAAGACAGAAGCCCAGATGCCTTCTTAAATAGAACCATAGCCACACATACTGTGTGTTTTCTTGAGTATTCTTTCTTATGAAGCACTCACACTTCCTTTAGTTATTTAGCTTTCAATACATGAACTAGACTGTTCCCGAATTGTCAATAGAGCCTGTGGAGACGAACTGTAAAACAATAAAACACTGTTTCCTTTGCATTCATTCTTGAAGTTCTTACCCAAATTCTTCCAGCTAAACAGAACTATCTGTTCTATCTTATGCCTATAAAAACTTACACAATCTGTTTTTCATGTTTCCAGAACATTCTGGAGCTGAAAGTTTGTGATGAGGACAAGGTAACTCAAGATGACCATCTCCTCACTGTTTTCTTCGATGTCTCCAAAATCCAGCTTGGAGAAAACATTCAGCTGAGTTTCCAGCTGAATCCACAGGTATGGATAAATTTCAAAGAGAACATGGTTAGGTGAGAATGTGTTTTTCTCAGCTTTTCTCTCACCTGTTTGGTATATACCCCCTTTTTACTGTCCATTTAGCCAGCTGAGTATATTCATCTGTTTCAGGGGCTGCTAAATGCTCTTGTCCCTGTAATTACAGTGAATTTGGGATGCTACTTTTCCAGATAGCAATGTTATCAGACTTGTTTGGTTGCTCTACTTGATGTTAAAATGTTGAGAGATTTAGGCAGTCCTTTGCGGTTGGAACTCAGGGTTCTGGGGAAATTGAGACAATCTCACGCTAAAGTTTTAATGATGATGTTTAGGTCTGAAAATACATCACTTGTGTGAGTGCTGATTTGATTTGATAACTGTTTTAGAAAGGCTCCCTGTGCTGTCTTCCTTCATGCTGTCTCTAGAATGTGAGGGATGTAGAATTGCACCAAAACCTGCAAAGGAGGATTGCAAAAGATGAAGACTGAGCATGCAATTGGACTCTACCCAATCAAAGTTCATTTTCCAGAGCACTCTGGGCTTTATACACCAAGGCATGCCACCATGTTAGTGTGCCATCAGGCCCATTTGTACAGGTTGTGGTTGAGGCCAGAAGAGGGTCAGGATGGTTTAAAAGCACCAAAGAAATTCAGTATTTCTCATGCTGAGAGTTAGTGGGGAGCACTGAGAGTTTCTGGCAGGGGAAGAGGAATTGCAGGTGATCTATGAACTAGTGAAGATGAATGTATGCCTATGGAAAGGCAAAGAAACTGTCAAGAGGTCCTGTAAGATGTGTTCATGTTTGGCCCACAAGGTGTAAACTAGAAGCCTGCTTATATATTTCCTACAAAGTTCAGTGTATGCAACATTAAATATAATGGATTCGACACAAGGAAAATGAAATCTGTTGCATGTGCAGTAGCTAAAGGTGGATGCTGGCTTGCTGAGGAGCACAGATTCCTACAGAGTATCTTTCTGCATATAAGAATCGTCACGTAGTGACTGTCTTTTCTTAATTTCTCAGGGAAAAGAGGAGCTGGAGGTTGAATTCACAATGGAGAGTAGGTAAGTTTTAAATAGATGAGCAATAGAGGAATGTAACTCAAAGAGAAAATATTTCTGGTACAAAATACTGTTTATGCTTGCAGCCCCCTAACACTGTCATTGTCTGAATAAAACAGATGGGAACTTCAGGTGTTCAGGAAATGCTTGTGTACGATAACATTTAAGAAAGAGGTGCATGGCAGTGTGTGATGTGTGTGCATCAACACCGGGCATATTGAGACACTAGAGCACTGCCACTAACAGGAGCACAGAGATGTCTCCAGTTGCTGATGCTCCCTAGGCTGCAGGGACGTTCTGTGCAGCAGGACATTTTAAGTTTTAAACCTGTTCTGCTCTTTACTGTCAGTTCCCAGACGCTTGCTTTGTTGTGAGAATGCGGGAAAATGTCACTTAAAATTTTAACAGTGGAAATAGATCTACAAATATTTTTTACTGTGTTTTTATGCTGACTGTACAGTTAAGGGAGAAAATGGGCAAGTAAATCAGTCCTAGTGCTGCTGTTGATTTTTAAGGTAAATTGTAATTTTTTTTTCCTCTTTTTATTATGGCATGTTGGATGAATTCACCAGCTTTTCAGCTGTGGTCCCCCCAGGTTTACGCCCGAACAACACAAGGCAATAGTGTAATTCTGCCATTTCCATAAATTTGCTTATTTGCATCAGAAAATGATCCTATCTGATGTAATGAGGAACTCCACTACTCAGCAGCTCTTCACAAATAGAGCTTAATGTTCAGAATCAGACCTGTAAGAGATAGACTGGATTGATGCCCAACTAGAGTTTAATGTGCCTATGCTGGCTGTCCAAAGACAAGTTTTTAAAGATAGAGAAATAATGATGATTGAAAAAGAAGAATTTGGAGAGTGCTAGTTGTGAACTGATTTTTTTCCATTTTGTCTTTCAGTCCGGATCCTCCTGAAAACATTGTTACTAATGGCGTTTTAGTGGTAATTTTTATTACCTACCCCATTCCCTGCTGTAGGGCCATGTTTACTGCTATGCTGACACTAATGGTGCTGGGCAGTTGCTTCACAGGGTGGCATGGAGGCATTAGCTGTGGGCAGACCCAAACAGAGCATGGTTAGGTGGACATCCATCTATCTCATTCTGCCTGGTTTCAGCTGGGTTGAGCATCCTCCCTGGGGCATCCATCCCACTTCATCCTGATGCCAAATGCCACCTTCCTGGTCTGGTAGGGGCGGTGTACAGATTAAGCATATGCCCATGGGTCTGGTAAAGCAGAGCTCAGCCAGTAGTGAATATCTTTTTCCCTTTCCCTCACTGTCTCTTCCAGTCCCGTGAAGTTGCTTGTCTGGAGGTGCAGGTGAATGATGGCAGGCTGAGAAAGGATAGCACAGGTGAGTTTTTGCTCATTTATGGAGAGTGTTATGGCAAAAGCACTCAGCATTTCACCCCTGAACTCCCCTGTTTAAAATGACTGAAGATGCAAGGTGAAATTTCAGCAAAATCAGTGGCCTCTGGAGTGGGCTGCAATTGGTCAAAACTACTGAGTGCACTGTGAAGAATTTGTGATCTGATTTTCCTGCAAAAAGACTTTCTCCTCTAATAACTTCTTGTCAGATGGCTATGACTTTCCAGAATGTTTGTGTACCACATTGAAGTTTTATAAGCTCTGAAGTAGAGCAAAATCTCCCTGTCTTCAGAGGCAAAGATAAGCATAAGGACTCTTTCCTCAAATTTCACACTTAAAAATTTCTTTTATGTGTAACAGTACAAAATATGCCACTAGGTGAAAGATGAGAGACACAGTATATTACCAAGGGTACCTGTTGCACATTATAATTAGCACATCACTGCTGTGTTGAGCCTGTGCTTGTAGGCCTGTATATGTCCTATGCAATTTTTAAAACTTCATGCTCTGACCTCCTAATACTTCCATACTGAAAAGCACGTTTTTTGAGAGAACTTAAATCAAGGACTCCTTTTTAGTTCTCAGCATAATTTATTTGCAAGGTGTTGTAAACAACCTTGGATCCCACTGACTACTGGTGGGGATCAGTTTCCCGGCATGAAGGAAGTTTCCTTGTAGTTATGAAGTACAGACATTAATAGAGTGGTTTTGGGCATTATTAACTTTAAGATAGCAAAGACTGTTCATGAGGATGTGACATTTGTTCTGCCATCTCTTCAGAGAGGAAATTTGCACTGACAGTGGATGGCTCATATGAGGGGATGCAGACCCACACGCTGAACTCATGCCTGTGTGCGGCCGCACCAGCGAGGTTCCACTACATCAAACACCATCAATCGGCGCTGACTGTGTCACTGCCACGGCGCAGACGGCTCAGTAGGGTATGTGGTCACCCATAATGGGCAGATGATTCTACATGCTGTTTGTTTGGGGACCTCTGAGGTCTGTGTTGTGTAGATCTGTGTAGGCAGAGGATGAGAAGCGAGTGTGTGGATGTGAGACTGGAAAGACTTCTCTTTTTCCCCTTGTGTAACTATGATTATTGCATTTTTACCTTTTCTTTTCCTTTTCAGTCTGTATCAAGTCAAAATGAAAGGGATATGAATGAGTCTGTGACTCTAGCTCTGAACTTGCTTCCTATACAAGAGAAAATAACTATAGCAGAGGTGAGAACAAGTATTTCTTATAAAATCCAGTCCAACTTATGCTCAGTTTGGTGGGTGACATGAATTTTACTCTTCATGATTCAGCTCCAGTCAGACACATGCTACATTTGTAAAGTGAGAATAACAGTTGCTCACTGTGTAGCTATACAATATTTATTTTTGTTGTGGTTTTGTTTGTTCTGCATGTGGTTCCAGCCACACTTTTCAACTCTGTTCTGAGCTTAAGCTGATTTCCTCAGGACATATCTAATACATATCTAATACAATCATCAATGCTGTATGTGAGCTAACAATAATAGGTAAGACACTTATGACTGATAACTGCAGAAGGTAAAACAGTGAACATTGACTTGCCTGTGGTTCAGGTGCCTTGACTTGCCTGTGGTTCATGTGCCTCTCTTTCAGTGAGCTCCCTTGAAAACAAAGGGAAGCTAAACGTTCATCCATGCAAAGCAGAGGGGCCCTATTTCTATCCAGCCCAGACTGCACTGGAACCCATTATCGATCTCAAAACCCAGACAATTGCTGGCCAGATCCTGCAGCAAATGCAGTAAAACTCAGCCTGTAGATCATGAGGGTGAGGAAGATGTAGAATTAATGACCTGAATGTGCTTACAGTGTTTGTATTGTGATTTTCAGGACAGGACAATTGACTTGTATGCAAAAGCAAATGAATGGTAAGTAAGTTTTCAGCAAGGCCTGATGCTGTAACTGGGAGTCACTTGCACCTACACATCTGAAATCAGCAGGGGGCAATGCAGGCTCAGTTGCAAGCGAGACTGCTCTGCTTCTCTTTGCAGGCTTTTGTGCAAGAGTCTCCTTTTTCAGTGATGGGTAACTAAATCAGTGGTCCCTTTTCCTTTGAGTTTCAGAACTGTGCGCTGTTATGCCTATGGATTGAGGGAACAGCTCCACACCGAAATCATATTTCTGTATAATACAAATAAAAAAAAAAAAACAAATCCAAGGCATGGAAGCTATTTCCCTAATTAGGTACAGTGCCTGCTGACGATGGTTATCTTGTTACAGGCACATATGGTAGGCAATACTGAAAACTGAAAAATCAATTATATGAGCAAACAAAACCAGAAGCTTGCTATAGGAATTCATTACAATACCAGGGCAGTACGAAGTGTTCTGTCTCTCATTGCCATTTGCATTTTTAGTAAAAGCTGAGACAATTAGCAGAGGCCTGTCTGTGGTGTTGCACTTTCTCATTTATTACATTATTGTTCAAGTACCAATCTGTAAACACAACTGGGATGACTACTGCAAGCAATAGCATGTAATATTTGTTCCCTGGTCTCAGGACCCAGGGTTTGTGCTTCAGGCCAAGAAACCTAGATGCTCGTCTGGGTTTTGACCTGTGCATGGATGAAAAGAATTTCCTGCAAAATCGGAGAAAGGTGGTTGCTGCTGCACTGAAAGATGTTCTTCATCTGGAAGAGGACTTACAAGACCATGAGGTAACTAGGAAATGCACTGCTTGGGGATTTCTCTCTTTCCCTTAGGTCTTGAAATGGCAACAGGAACAAGGCCTCTGTCAGCAACTGCTTCTCTTAGGCTCTGTTTGCAGCCAAAGTGTTCTCAGATAGAGAGCTCAACAGACTGCCTGAAAGAGCAAATACTCTATTTTCAGCTGACATGATGGGGCTGGGTTGATGGTTGGATTAAGAGATCTTAGTGGTCTTTTCCAACCTAAATGTTCTATGATTCTATGTGTCTAGGTGTTGCTTTAGCTCGACTGTCTTCTTTTGATGCAAATGTCCCTTGATGCCACTTTGTGTCTTGTTTTGTGTTGAGCAGGTACCTATAGTGGCTGTGACAACAGCAGGGTGTGGGATAAGAGCACTGACAGGAATGTATGGCAGCATGTTGGGTCTTCAAAAGTTGCGCGTTCTGGATTGTGTTTCATACATCAGTGGCTCATCTGGCACAACATGGTGAGGAGTCATTTTGATTCTATTGTTTGGATCTTATTATGTGAAGCAAAACCCTGCTTTGTCTGGGCTTTAGATCTTGGAAAAGATAAAAGGGGTGTACTGAGTTACTGCTTGTTCCTTGGTCTATGAACAACGGGGTCACCCAAGAAATGTCAGTTGTGCATCAGACTTTTTGGTGTCACTGAAGTAATTTAACCCCAATTAAAAGTTGAAACTTTAATGGCAGTGCAAAGATCCTTAATCCTACACAAAATTATCCTTTATAATTAATTACTGTTGGATAAAACAGCATAGAGAGCTGATGGAGCTGCCTGAATAGGATTCAGAGCTGCCTGAATAGGATTCAGAGCAAGTGATTATCTATAGATTTGCATTTGTGTTCAAAGTAAGCTCGAAACAGAAGGGTGACCTAAAGCTAGTATAGTTAGAAGTGCCCAAAGTATATCCTCTCAGTTTTAAAAGCTTCATCTTCATTTTTGCATCTCCCCATCCTGTTTCCTGCTTGCAGGACCATGTCAAAACTGTATGAAGATGCTGAGTGGTCACATAAGGATCTTGGAGAAATAATTATTGAAGCTCGAAAGCAAGCAGCCAAGTGCAAGATGAGTGCTTTTTGCTTGAGAAGTCTGAGGAATTATTACAAAGAGCTGAGTCAAAGGACCCAAGCAGGACATAAAACATCTTTTATTGATCTGTGGGGACTTATGATTGAATCGATGTTAAATGATGGGGTAATGTCTACACAGCTATCTTCTCATAAAGTCGGTTACCTGATCTTTATGACCATTACAAGAAATTAAAATCCTAGGAAGAAGTACCTGGCCAGTAACACTATACTTGGTATGCAGGCAGAACACGGCTTACTGCAGTAATAACTTGGAGATACCGTGCATGTCTATAATGAATTCTAAAATGTGACTGAATATAATGTAGAAATGACTCAGACTAATTCTAAAGTAACTGGCATGCTAATTAACCTTTGTAGCTGTCCAAGAATTTTTTTAAATTCTGAAGTGTTTTTTACAGCTTCACACTTTTATGTTTCCTCTGCTGTAATGTTTGCTGTATTACACAAGCTGTAATCATGTACTGTACATACCGCAGATGTGCTCCTTATGTAGTTACTGCACTTTGTGAATTAGCACTGAGAAAGTGTGTAGATCTGTTGCAGGAATAGTGATTCTGCAGGTGTTTTCAGCTGTTTTGAATTTGCCCTCTCAAGACTGCCCCTTTCTAATTCTGTTAAGCAAAATTTTCCATGTAAACTGACAGACTGATGTCAGCTGAAGAAAAAACTATTTTATTGTAAAGTCCTGTAAATATTTATATTTTGCCCAGATGAAGCAGGAAAACAGAAAAAAAACCACAAATATTTTTGTTTCATATCATATTTCACATTGTATTTCTGGCTTCACTGCTAGCTAGTTGCTAGAATTTCATTTGGCTGAAGTACACTCAATATATCAATTTCATGTAAAAGATAAGCTGTTAGTATTGAACAGCTCAAGGATTTTTCCTCTTTGGATGGCACCTTCCAATATGTTTCATGACTGTTTTTGGCTAGAAGTGTCAGTAACACCATGCCTTGAATTCTTATGTTAAACAAATGAAAGATATGATAATAATAGAATTAGCCTGATCTGTTGTTTGTTCATCATTCTCCCTCCCCATATATTTAACAACATAAAGCTAGAACAGCATTTAAAGCATGTTATTCCTGGTGTCATACACTGAATGTATGACATGGCTGATTCTCATAACTAAAGTTATTCTCTCTCTCACGTGTTTTTCTTGCCCTCTTTATTTGTGATATGGAAATAACTCTAGGTGGAAATTAAGATAAATAATATTCCATATTCAGACATTATAAGATGATGCCTTTATGAAATGGATTATCAGCTAATCTTTTCTAAATTATTATTATTATTTTTAATATCCAGAAATGCTACCACAGGCTTTCTGATCAACGTCGAGCAGTGAACCAGGGCCAGAATCCATTGCCCATCTACCTTGCCCTGAATGTCAAGGATAAAGTTACTACCAAAGATTTTAGAGGTAATGATGTTCCATTTCTAGGAAAAGACATTCATTTTTACACTGTACGTATAGATACTGTGTATAATGACAAATAATTTTAAATTCTTCCTCCAAGCCAGAAGTCCTGCTCAGAGAATGTAAACAATAGCTGGGGAACCATAGGATACAAAGCAGCAGTTTAACATCTTGTAAAATCTCCTGGCATGTAAATATGCATATTTAGATATTACCTCCAGGTGACCAGTACAGCCTAGATCCATGACACTGCCTTAAAAATGCTATCAGTTCTTAAGGAAAGTGATTCCCAGAAACTTTAAGTTCACTTAATGAGCATTTTTCATACTAAAGGTAATAAGTGCAATAATAACAAACCACATTCTAGTCCTCCTTTCATAAGAGAACACCCCACTTTCGAAAGAGTTGCTTAAAATTTCCCTCACCTCCTACATAATTCTTTCGAACCTCATGAAAAGTGTGATTGCTGTTTCAGTTGCCTGCTGGATCTGATAGGTGGTGGTAAGCAGGGTTTGCTTTGGGCTCCTGCTAAGCCAGCCTACCTCCAGTAGCACTGAGGTTCACTCTTTGTCTGCTCACGTTGCTGCTTTTAACAACATTATGTCCTCTGGGCTGGTGGAGCTAATGCTGTTGTTCTGTGTGTTGTCAGAGTGGGTAGAGTTCACGCCCTACGAGGTGGGCTTCCTGAAGTATGGCGCCTTCATTCGTGCAGAGGATTTTGGCAGTGAGTTCTTCATGGGTCGCTTGATGAAGAAGCTCCCTGAGTCCCGAATCTGCTTCATGCAAGGTGACTTACCAGCTTGAGGGAATGGCAAGAATTTAATACAAAAGCTGATGATTTGGAAAATTAGTCCCTAGCAAGCTGTAGTTTTGCATATTGTAGCAGAGGCACAGGGTCACAGCAGAGAGGGATCAACGCCTCGGTCACTTTGATTCAGTGTGTTTCTGAGACTCACATACGTACCCATGTTTTTTATCACTGAGACTAACAAAATTAACCTTAAAAAAAAAAAAAAGTAATATACTTTTGCAAGTGCTTTTACAATATCACCTCCCTTTAGCTTGAAAAGCGTTTCAAAAGTTGCAAACTTATGTGACTTGGCAGAAGCTGAAGGAAACAGTGACAAGAAATAAAAGGGGGGAATCAGTGAAGAAACTGGCTGAAAATAATCCTTTATGGAAAGAGAAAAGAGCAATGCAAAATTTGTCTTTGCCTATATATATGTTGTTCTAAGTAAAACATGGTGGTAGGAAAAGAATGCTGATATTTCTTCTGAAATAAGTTTGCATTATGAGTCAAGTATAGATGTCTGGGCCCACTTAAAAGCTGGATAGAAATGCAAAAAAAAAAAAAAAAAAAAAAAAATGCTGTGGAAGGAGCAGAAGGCAGTTTTTAAATCAATTCCTTATGTTTACCTCTCTCACTTCCTAGGAATGTGGAGTAGCATCTTCTCCAAAAACCTCCTGGATGCCTGGCATGCAGCAGACAATTCAGAGGACTTCTGGCACAGATGGACCCAAGACAAAGTGACTGAAATAGGTAAATCCTCAGTACCTTTTTGACTTATGGCCTTCTTCTTCCAGGCCCCTATGATAAAGTAATTGCACTCATATTTCCCTGTTTTGTGGTGCTCTTGATCTCAAAGTAGTGGAGACACTGGGAATGTGAAGTGATTTGATGTTACTGAATAGCCAATGCTTTGCTTAATCTGAGACTGGCAATGATGAGATTTATATCGGAAGATAAGGCACCATCAGACAGACCTTGATAGAAAGAAGGTAGGGATGAATATATAAGGTGTTCTCTAATGTGCTGAGTTAAAAAGAAATATTTCTGCCAAGGCTTCATGTCATCTCCATTTTTAGCCAGAAGGAAGCTTGAGAGTTTTCTTTTTTCAATTTTATTCCCCCTAAATTGTGCATCTTTCCCTCAAAATCTGGCTGAACTGCAAGATCTAGTAGAGGTCCGAGGAAGTCAATAGAGTAAGGATAAATAACACCAGCTAAGAAGGGCAGCTCTGTACTAAATGACCATTCCTTAAAAACATCCATGAGCACCTTCATGTTAAAATTCAAGTGAAATCAGTGATATCATAGTGAACAGATTTAGGTGACATTTCTGTCGCTGATTCTTCCTCCTCTTTGTTCCTGATCATAAATATGTGAACTATAATTCAACTGCATGTAATTTATGTCATGTACCTCTAGAGGAACAACCAGACTTGCCTGAGAAGCCCTATGAGATGGCTACGTGCATGTTCACTCCTACAAGCGGCCTCTCCACGACTCTGCGGGATATTCTGACGGACCGCCCTGCTGTCTCCAAGTACCACAACTTCCTGAGGGGCTTCCAGATGCATAATGAGTACATCCAGCACGAACAGTTTGCAAGATGGAAAGGTATAGACAACTCTCCTGCTCACGCATACTTCCAACATCACAACTATTGAATTGTGGGGGTGTTCACTAGTGATGGTCTTTATTGGGAGTAAAATAACTAGAGATGGGCTTTGCATGTACAGAAAACCTGCCATGGGTTTTTTTGCATCTCATGGCTTTGGAAACACTGATAGAATGTGAGTGGAGAGGGTAAAGAAAGTTTTAGGATTGCTGCATGACATCCAAAAGCAAAGGAAAAATCTGGAATGGGAAGGGAGCTTGCCATCCTTTTGTTTTCTAACTTCACTGATGTTTTTCTGCAGCTTACTAATAGCTCCAAATTTTAATTCTTTAGACACTTTGCTGGACACTTCTCCTAATGATCTGAGAGGCCACTCAGAGCACTTGGAGTTGGTGGATGCAGCTTTCTTTTTTGAAACTAGCTGTCCACCCCTTATGAGACCAGAGAGGAAAGTGGATGTCATCATACACTTAAATTACACTGGTGGATCGCAGACCTTGGTGAGAAGTAAAAAATGTCATTGTTTAATAATGGTTTTTTGTTTGCTTTTTTCGACTCTTGTACAAGCATCTATAAAATATTATTAGTGGAAGTTGATAAAAGTGTCTCCAAACCTTAAAAGAAGAGTAGAAATTCTCAGAGGGAAGAATATATCAGTTTTTTCTAAAACCGCCTTTGAAAGAGCCCTAAGTAGAATAGTCAAAGCTCTCTGCTTCACCAATAACGTACAGAGTGGCGCAATGAAGTTATTATGGTTGTGCTGCAACTTCCATTACAAGTGACTGTAAGATTTTATAGCACAGATATGGTTGGAAAAGCTTTTTCTCTAATTCAGATGCAGAATTTATTTTGCATCTTCCTTAAGCATATACAATTTGTATTTTTATTAGACAGTGTTTTTTATTTGTCCAAGATAGCAAGTGAATAATTTTTGTCTTTATTTTCATTTTCTTTCAATGAATGCATTTTTTCTCTTAATGTGGTTATCTTGAAGAAAGGTATCAAATACACTTACTGTGTTTGCTGAAGTCTGATTGTAAAATGGTTATATAGTTTTCAAAAGTGATATTCACCACATAAAAAGACAGAATTCCAAATGTGTTGTTGTAATTGTAAACCTGCCTCTGAAGTGCACCACAGAAAATACAAAGTTCACTCGTTAAGGTTCTGTCATCGATTTCAAGTAGATGATACTTTAATGCTATTCCTGCACTGTAATGCCAGATGAAAAAAATGTTTATCTCTGTTCCGCAGCTGGAAAAGTACAGTTGCTTGTACGGACATTTCTTTCTAGTAATCTCAAGTCCTTCAGAAATATTTAATTCAAACAAACTGAGGTGTTATTTCAATGTATTGTTAGGTACGTTAACAAAGTTTGAGTATCACAAATGAGCTTTGTAATTTAGTTTTGTATTTTCAGATTTAATACTCATAAAATGCTAGAAATTTCACATTATTTCTAAAACTTGAAGTGTAAATTGGGCAAGTGCGTTTCAAAACCCTACAGCTACAATCCGCTGAAGTCTACTCACAAGTTACCACTGCTACACAAACAGATAGTATAACTGTGAATCTTACTGTCTTTAACAGCAAATTTAGGATTGCAAATTTAGTTGTGTTCAGATTAAAAAAAAGATAATTCTAACATAATTCTCCTTTAATTAATGATGCTTTCTAACAATCTTTGAAATTACTTGCCTTCATCATAAGTTATACTTCAATTTTAGAAATGTGCCTTGGCACAAATTTAAACCCTCTTTGCCATATTAATACCAGGTATTTTATTTCAAGTCTATTTTCAAATAACTCCTCAGGCGACAGGAGAATTAGGGATTGCATGTGCTCACATTATCTTCATTTTTATAGTACTATTGAGTCATCTTGTGCAATTTAACGTGAATTACAGGGCTACAAAAACAACCTAATCTTGTGTATGTTTTCCATTTTTTATACTGCTGCTATTGGGCAATGACCAGCCTCTAAAGCAAGCTTGCAGTTACTTCTCAGAGCAGGGAATTCCATTTCCCAGCTTTGGGCTGAAGGATGATGAGAAGAACCTGAAAGAGTGCTATGTGTTCGATGGTGCAGACTCCCCCGGAGCTCCTCTGCTGCTTTACTTTCCACTAGTGAATGACACTTTCCAAAGATATGTAGCACCTGGTAAGTTAATATTATCCAGCTATTTTATTGACACAGTGAGTGTTTTGACCTTGAGTGTTTCTTCTTTATCCCAATACAAAAATCCTTTGCTTGCTTGTTCCTACTAGTAAATGTAGTGCATAATGGGATGACACTAACTACTTCTGAAATCTTGTGTATAATTTCAGTTTGAGAATTGGTGCAGTTCAGAGAAAGAAGAAATGCATTCCTCAAGTAGAGGAATAGGAACTTATTTCTTCTTGTGATCTCTAGAATTTTACTTCACAGTGAAGAACAAAGCGCAGTTTTCAAATAATCTATTTTATGACACTCAGATCTAGGAAGAACTACCTTTACAGTACAGAATGTTACTGAGGAGGAGCACTGTGCTTTCTTTTTGGGTTGTTTAATGCATTTCTTGTATGTGTTGGGAAATGAAAGCAATGGGATGTAAACTAAGACTTGTTAAATGCAGTCACGGTGTCCTTTTGGGCCAGTGTTTTAGACACTGCCAATGTTTTTATTATGATTTCCAAGGCAACAGATGTTCTGCCTTATCCTGTGCTGTACATCTCTTTATTCCTTCTACCGTTAGTATGTATTCTATTTGTGACCCATGGGGTAAGACTTTGAATGACCCTCATAAGATGGCATGCTATGAGTCGACCAGTAGAAGGTACTAGTTGCAATGGAATGATGTCTAGTGACACTTGTTCATGAATTCCAAAAAGACTTTGTTCAGAAGTACATTTTTCAGAGATCAGAGCATTGCACTTGTGCTTGCAACCACATCTGTAATCTCTCTAAGTTATTACTGACATAGTCTATCAGAGGACTGTAGTTCCCTGGGACTATACAAACTCCCTCTTTTCCTCTGACAGGCATGTCTCGCAGTGCTGCAGAAATGGAACAGGGCAAGGTTGATCTCTCCAGTTTCTGCTCTCCATACTCAACAAGGGAAGTGTCACTGAAAGCAGAAGATTTCAACAAACTCCAGAAGCTGACTACTTACAACATCATGAACAATGAGAATATGATTATTCAGGCCTTGCGCATGGCTGTGGCTCGGAAGAAGCAGGCTCCAAGCCAGCCTGTATCACAGACACAGGCCACTGGTTGAACAGTACTTTCTCTCTTACTAAGTATTTATCACAACTATGCAGAATTATCTATCAAATGCAATAGCTACTTCACTCGTCTTGGGGAGTGCCATTTATTTCCATATAACCTTCTCATAAAAAAACTCCAGAACTTGAAATACTTCAGAGCCACACAGTTCAGTTTACTAAGAATAGATGCTATTTTTGATCGGAATTTTGATGTCAGATAGACTGATCTGACGTTAATACCATCTTATTGTTATGCACAGAATGCAAATTCAGCTGTGTCTGATAGGGAAGTAGTTTTAACTTTTTCTCTGCATTCTCTTATTGTTTCGGTGGTTAGTATTTTTTCATATGCAAAATATTCTAGCATTTCATTGGGACTGCAGGTAGCAAATTCATGAAGCTCATAGAAGGTGGTGACCAAGCAGTATCAATTAAAACATTTTACTTGGTTCTAATAACTTGAATTAAATGGTGTTCTACCTCATAATAGTTTAGTTTCTCACATATGCTTTTTGTCATTAACTGTCGTGAGTTATCATATCATACTTAATTTTTCAGACATGTTGAGTGATGGATATATATATATATATATATATATGGTGGCCTTTAGGTCTTCAATGACACCTTTTTATCAATTAAATGTACTTCTGAATTTGTTTTGAAAGGTTATTACCATTTTCTCCCACAATAACCATATTCTGACTCAGATTGCATACGTGTGCTGCAGTTATCTCTCTGGAAAGCAATTTTGCTTCAGCATTGTGTGGAACTTGTTTGGTGTAGTGAGTTGAAATATTACCAAAACAAATAGCATGTGAGGGGAACACTGAGTTTTATGATAATGGCATACACAGAATAACACTGTTGAAATGGAATGAGGTAATTTTTTTTTTTTTTTTTTTGCTGTTTCATACTTGTTAAACAACTATAAAAAGTGCAATACAGCTGATAGGTATGCTAGTAAAAAGTATGTTACAATTACCACAGACTAACCTAGTCATTTGACAAGTACATTGAAATACAGTGGCTAAAGGGAAAAAAAAAAGCTGGCTTAAATGCACATAAACACATGACAGCTCTCAAACATCAGCACAGCTACCGCAGAACAGATGAAGAAACATCCAGATCATTTCCTGGGAATGCATTAAATGATGAGGGCAACCTGATGAGCAATCCATAAACAAAACACAGCACTCTTTTTCAAGCTGTACATGAGACTGGTTTGTAACACAGGAAGTGATTTTGTGTTGTTCCAAAGAATCAAGAGCTTGTCCACTTAAGCATGGATGTTGGTCAATCATCATTGCATCTGAGTGAGGGTATACAGCATAATAATTATCTTACATTTCTTCCTTTCCAGCTAATGAGAATTTTATAAGTAAATCCTTTGCTGTTCTGGACATTTTTTTCAGATACTGTGAAAAAAAATATAAACTGTTTTGGTGAAAAAATAAATAAGCTCATGCATTTGGAGAAGTGAATCTACTCACACAAGTGAAGAAAATTCCACCAGAGAAGGATGTGCAGTTTCTATTTCTGATACAAATTTTTCCTCAAAGGCAAATTATTGGAGAACAACAGTCTTTTATAGAATTGGAGCTGGTCTTTTTGGCGTTAGACCCACAGGGGGGTTGTGAAACATGGATAGGAGTTGCTAGCTGGGCTTTTGTCAATGGCCAGCTAGGCTGAGAGTCAGAGTAGTCCCTCATCTCCTTAGATAGAGGAGATTTTTTTTCTGCTTTTCCCAGAAAGGCACATAGACAGTTTCTCTCTTATCTTCTATGGTTTAACTAGTCTGAAGATGGCAGTAACAGGAAGAAGCTCACCACTTACCATTGAAAAGTCCTGAGACAAGTCAAGCCTTAACACAGAATCACAGCATGGCTTAGGTTGGAGGGGAACTTAAAGATCATACAGTTGCAAGCCCCATGCTATAGGCAGGGCTGCTACCCACCAGATCAAGGCCCAGGGCCCCATCCACCCTGACCCCGAATGTCACCAGGAATGGAGCATCCGCAGCTCTCTGGGCAGCCTGTACCAGCACCTCACCACCCTCTAAGTAAAACATTTATTTCTAACATCTAACCTAAATCTCCCCTCTTTCAGTTTAAAGCTATTCCCCTTTTCCTAGCACTAACTAAGCCTTGTCTTATCTAAGATGGTAAAATCCTGACCAAAAAAGATCCCTGACAAGGGGCAACAGCTGAAATATGAAACTAAACTGGCATATCCCAGGAGTTCACAGACTTGGCAAAGCTGATGCAGTGCTCAGATCTTAAGAAATAACAGCAGGACTAAATGACAAACATGGTGAGTCTGTCCCTGACAGATATTAAGGATTCAGTCACAATGCCCATTTTAACAGATCAGGCTCCTTCTTTTGAGCTTTTCAGTGTCTTTCTGGATAGAATATCAGGCCAGAACTACTCTTTATTGCATATTTTCCTGATGTTTGCAGAAGAGGAAGGCAGGCATGGGTACTTTGAGAATGCAGTATCACCTCTAACTGTTCTCACTGTTTCAGATATTTGGACATGTTAGTAGCTGGACTCATGGAAGGGTTGTTTACTCACATATCTGCTGTATGTACTAATTTGGAGGGAAATGTGCTCTTTTTTTCCTTGGTTTACTCCGTTTTTTTGTTTGTGGGAGTGTCCTGAAAGCAGGAAAAATACAAACCAAGATGATCAAATACATATACAAAAGTGAGGAAAAATCCAACAAAAAAGTAACTCTGCCCCTCCCACCTCGAAGAAAAATAAAATAATATCTAGCTGAATTTTGGAGTCTTCAAAGGTTTTATCCAAAGCCCTTTTGACTGTTGATTGCAGTGCTGTAGAGCTGCTGTTTTTGTTTTTTTTTTCTTTGACTTATGCATAACTGCTGTTATCTTCTCTATTTGTGCATTGTTAGGAGGCCAAGTCATGGGTATCCATTCCTGTGCTGTGTGCACTCTTTGGACTCTTACCTTGATTTGCTATTAACTCTAAGTGTATAAAACCTTCCCTCAATGCACACTCATGATGTTCAGATATCAGTCTCCACAAATTCCCTCCCCTTCTCTGTCCATACTTTCCCTTTCAGGCAGTAGAGAAGGTGGGGCATGGATAATCCTCTCAAGTTTGCAGAGGTACTTCATGACTCACTGCCAACTGTTGTCTCTAATACTGATGTGACACCCATAGCTCACTTGTATGCAGCTGGGAGCATGATGGGATCATATTGGAGTGCTCACGAGGTAAGAAATTCAGACTGTAATCCATTAAAAGCTGAAGTTGGCCAAGAATGTGTTTGAGATTGGGATTCCTGTGCCTTGGAGAGGTCTTGGGAGATGGCAGTCCAAATTCATGCATGTTTTTACTTATGTTAGACAACTTGATGGGTTTCCTGGTATTGGTAGCTCTGTGGAGGCATTTTTGGTAGTGAAGAGAATTTAAGATGCATTGGGTGATCCATGTAGAGGCTAGGAAGCAGTCTGAGATACCAGGAATTAGCAAGGGATGTGATAAAGTGCTCAGAGCCCTTCAGCTTGGGACTCTTATGGCTTAACAAATAAACCAAATGAGTCTAACTCAACTAGCTACAGAAACTTTGGGCAGAGAATGGTCCCCTAATCATCCTCTCTACTCTTTTCCCTGTCCTCAACCACTGAAACAGCCTCATGAGAAGGGGCAAAACTATACTCTCCTTGTTGATGAAGGGCAGGAGAATTATTCTTCCAATTTTGCTGCATGATTTTAAAAATTGCAACAAATATTTATGTGAGGGCATGCTTTTTGAAGCATAAATGTTTCATTAATTCTGCAATTGTTTTGTCACTGTCCTGCAGTGTGAAGAATGCCCATGCAGCTCCCTGTCTGTAAAAATCATAAGGATGAGAAATCTGAGAAAGGCAGATCTGTGTGAGTATCACAGTCTTTCCTTGCACTTCTCAGTAGTTCAGTTCTGAAAGCAGTGAGTATAACTGAGCACTGTAACTTGTGTCTGTTTATAAAGTGTCACCATGGTTCCGGATACTGCTGTATATTTGAATTTGGACTAATCTTACAATACAGTCTGTTATAAACAATACCCTTCAGTTTACAGAAGTGTTGCTATTAATGGAAATATCAAAGGTCTGCTGAGGTACAATGTGAAGTGTCTTAACAGTTGAAAAGCTTCAGAACCAGTTTTGCTGAACAAATACAGCTGTTAATTATCAGTTACATTCGTTGTGATGTGCTATGATGAAGGCTGCACCTCTAATTCTAGATGAAATTGCCAACACTGACAATGAGTGGCTGCTAGAGGCTATGTGGTAACACTGGAGCTTTACTACCATCTCTCTGTCTTTGCAGACAGCAGAAAAACATTCAGGCACTTTCACATTTTTGTGTTTGATTTTAAAAAAAAAAAAGGAGCATTATGAGCATTATATATTGTATGAGTTTGTTCTCAGACAACTCTTTCTAACTCTTTCTGTGACATGTTTACTGAAATGCATTTGAAATATCAGACTTTCAAGGCAAAAACAGCATGACTGAAATGTTTCTGGGAGCTTGGTGGAATGGGTGAGAGTGGAAGTGAAGACAGAAAATCTCAGAGGCTACTGAGGTAGAAGAAAACAAGCTGCAGGACAGCTCAAATATCTGTCTTGGGGAGAAGGAACAAGCCAGGAACGCAATAGGAGGGAGGTGGTTAGGAATCTTTATGTGCTAAATAAACACAAGCGAACTCAGCAAGAGTATTTGCTATTTGCCTCCATGGAGGCTTTCAGAAAATTACTGGATTGACCCTAAGGTTTTGCTTACTTTTTTTTAGAGGCTAGTATTTGCTGTCAACATGTCAATAAGTGAGAAATTAGTCACTATTAAGAAGAAAGCTGATATAAAGTAATTTTTTAAACATAATAGTAGATTTATATCATAATTCAATAAAACTGATAATAGTATCTCTAACTAGAATTACAAATAATTTTGGGTTTAGAATTAGTCTTTGCTCTGGGATTATTTTGGATAATACTTTTTGTGGA